GATTTACAAAGAACATGAGTGATGATTAGATAACTATCCCCCGAGCCTACAAGTGGAAGCTGGGGTGGTGGGGGGGCAGGCGAGCAGCAGGAACATGAACGCAGCAGTAGCAAGTGATCACAGCAGCAGCGAGGCAGAGGCAGGAAGACCTGGCAGCTTAAATAGAGCGGCATGTTTAGGAGAATGTGTTTGGTTGGTTGTAAGAGGTGCGTCGAGTTGACTGCCTGAACTAGCTCGTAGGCTTCGCCCCATTTCTTGAATTCAAACTGAGCCCAAAGTATTGTTCATGTAAAACGTATGAATTGAAATGGCTACTTACGTATACATGGAAAGGCTGGAATCGTATGTTGACGTGACTCCATATTTCACTTCATTGTAGCGGAACATCTCGTTGGCATCCCAGCCATTGGACTGAAAAGACAAATATAAAATAAATCAGAGAAATTGTTAAGTGCATTAAGCAGAAGTTTCTTGTAGTTTAATAATAATAATAATAATAATAATATTAAAACATTTCCGAGTATGGGTATTTATATCATCTTTGTTTTTTGTAGTGTTGAAAAGACAGAGCGACTCACTGGATCTTTCTCCAGATCGAAGCCCTCTCCATTGCTCTCTCCGCCCTCCCATCTCTGCAGAACCTTCTCCTTGTGTTCTCCGTTGACACGAGTGGAGCTGATGGCCGTGTCTGTGAAGGTGTCTAAAACCATAGGAATAAAAGTAGATTAGACCTTTCTCAAAGTGTTTCATTTGGCACACTTTATCTACAGCCTGCAAACTGAGTCTAATCAATGAGTCTCAAAATAGAACATTAAAGAATGCTGACTTTTGACCATATAGCCGAAAATCTATTATTCTCTCTTCCTTTTCTCAGATCAAATCCAATCTAGTCATGGCTAACATATCTATTTACTATAAATCAAGGACACTCTCAGCATGAACTAAGTCTAACTTTCACCACAAAAAACTGTTTTCCAGGAGGATAAATATGTCTATCCTTCAAATGCATTGCAGGTGTGTCAAGATGTTTGTACCTCTTGTGGCAAAGTTGAGGTCGACGTCTTTGCAGATCATGGTCACCAGGTCGGAGGGGCTGAAGATCATGGTGTCAGTGATGTCCTCCCTCCGTGGCAGAATTGATGTCGGTTCCTCCTCCTCACCGCGTTTGTGTACAGCGTCCACAGCCAACTCACACTATGGCCCAACATTAGAGATTTTAAGTCAGTGTTAACTTGCAGACAGGGACATAAAACTACTAAAGAAAGGCCATATTATTCATTGAGAAAAGTTAACAGTTATGCTGGCAGGATTACATGCAGAGCTTTATTTCGTTGAAGTAGGTTCAACAAGAGATTCTTACCCGAGAGCTGAGAGTCTTAAATACGCCTTCAAATACACTGCCGTTCTTCACTCTTATGTCACAGGTCGAACCCTAAGAGAGAAGGAGAAAGACTTTGTTTTAAAAACATATAAAAGCAGAAAAATAAGACACAAACAAAATGTATTTAGAAATCTGATACTTCTAACTCTAACAGCTTTTTGGGATTGAGTATACATATTTTGAAAACTGTATTCTGTATACTGTCCATGTTGTCAATAGTAACTATTTAATGCATCTGCTTTTATGAGATTTGGGTTGTCGTGTCAGAAAAAGTGCACGTCTAGTAATAATAAGGAGAAACACGACAGTCAACTTGCAGCACAGTCGATCTTGAAAGAGAAGGACCATTAGAGAAGGTAAGTTACATCTTCCCTCCGACTAATATGGTACAGGTCAAAGTAGGTAATGCAAGTCATTCATTTGTCTTGAATAATCCATTCTGGTCTAATGACATTAATAACAAGTCTAATGACTTACCACAACAGCTGTGAGGAAATGAAGCATCCTAGCATTGTTGTACACACCCTCGAACACCTGCAGATGGGAAAACATGTTTTAGGTATTCATCAAGCAAAGTATTACAAATACATGACATTAAAAGATCAAATGATGATATTTAAAAAAGAAAAAGGACCAACATTTGAAATCTTAACCAGTAAAAAATATGTAGGTTGTCCATTGAAAGGGAAGGTGCTACATCAATACTCTCCTTTTATACAGGAAAACCACTTATGACGCACTCTAAGGAATGGAGGTTTAAGCCACAGTTACCCTTTTTAACCAACTGTCGTCACCGGTATATTCCTGGTAGTCAGATACATTTGGATTGTAGTCCAATGCACACGACATATTCTTTTTATATAAAAACCTCTCATCAGTGCTCTCTTGAAGAGGAACATTCAAAGGCAGATTTTCCATATGTAGTTTAAAATCTTCGATCATGTATAAGATCACACGATAAGCATGATGGTGCGGAAATGGGACTTAAAGATAAGGATTGGTTTCAATATGGCCCTTTAGTTTTTAACATTGTGTACAATCTTATGCATGAAACTTTTCTGAATCAGGATACTCACTGGAGATGACTGGAACGTTGGCTTTGCAGAAGCTCGGTTCCTGGGAAAAACAAAACAGTTAAAACATGTTTGTCTGCTCAGACAGTAGTATAACCTAAAAGCCGGCCAAGGCAGTGTCACATTCCACATATACAACATGTAGTTGAAAAGCTCACTTACAGGTCTGACGAGTCCCCAAATCAACATTCCTACTGCACTGAACACTTACAACGCAAACTTGGTAACTACAGTCACCTATTGGGAATTTATACTTTCTTCAAACTTTATTTATTGATGTATTCAACCTTTCTTGAGTTAGGTGTCATCCTGCCACCAATTTCACTTTTGGAAATTGCATTTTTCAATTATGTAATGTGTAGTATAATCTTAAAGAAAACTTCAATATTTGGTAATGTTTCATATGTAGCAGTTCAACTGATCCCTTTAAATGGATCACACCCAGAAGCTCTCCTGAATTAAGTAAGGAAAATCGAAACTATATTCTTTAAATCACGTCAACATTTTAGAAAAAACGTTTGAGCAACCTGTGTTTTCATACAGTAATAACATGATTAGATCAATCAGGATAGTAAATACGTCCACCATGAACAATACACATAAGAAATGTCTTCACTGCTCGTCACATACACGCTTGCAAAACAAAGGCTGGAAAGAAGCTTGCAAGAGTTTCGTAAAAAAACACATCTCAGAGATTTTAGGACAGATATAACATGGTGATGGCCTCAATATAACATAAATATTAAGTACAATGTTTCTACAAGATACTTTATTGGCTAAAAATGCATGTGTGTTGTCAATGCTATATTGCACATAATCCACGTCTCTTTGCTGGCACTGACAGGCCATATACACTTTGAATAGCTTTTTTGCTGCTCACTGCTTTCACAAAACCTGGATCCACCTCAGCATTTAATCTGGACATTCCAATTGGTTAACAGTCACTGTCAATCTAACATGAGCTAATCTGATTGGCCTGGAAAGAAACGCTATTTCCGAGACACACCCACTCGGCACACACCGCCTTAACCGGTAGGCCTCCAACTCACGGGACAATCCTCGGACTGGCCTGACAGAAAGCCCCCCACAACCCGCTTACCTCCCGGCCTGAGTCCTGCTGCCGCTGTTGATTCCGCTGACTGGAGCAGACATACCGGCGGGGCCCGAGGTTCCGTTGGACGCCTTTCTCCCGCCTGAGCCGGGTTGCTGCTGTGGTTTCAGCATTGCGAAGCACAAGGCTTAAGACACCAATAAGTGTACGCTCACTTATAAACACTGATACCTTTGTTGGTGAAGTTTTTAAGGCGAACTATCTTTAGCAGTATCACCTGTCCCGAGCGGAGCCGGTGTTTAACCTCAGGGATACCGGCTAGCTACTCTTGCTAAGTGAAGTCGCTTGTGGCCTAAAATGTAAAAGCGAATTTAAATTAAATTAAACATATAACTTAACAAACTACCCCGACTATCTTATCTGTTACCACGGTGGTTATGTCAAAGCAAGCGACTAGTGAAAAGACACGAGTTTTCGTGTGATTACTTAGCACTAGCTCGCTAACTTAGCACTAGCTTGCTAACTTAGCATTAGCTTTGATCCTAAAGCTCACTTCGGGCGCTTTCCTCCGGGATCTACGTTCTTCTCTCGGTCGCGTCGCCTTGACTCCGGCACCGCTGACCCCTTCCGTTAAAATTTAAGCAGTTGGTGTTACTGTCAGTTGCCCTATTAAGTTAGATTATTACAGGTTTCTTACTGAAAACCTGCTGCGGGTCGGTCAACACCACCTCTCGGTAGGTTCACTAGACTCAATCCGCGCGCGGCTGACCGGCTGGAAAGGGGGAGGGGGCGTTGACGTGCGCGTGCGCTTTTTGACCTAGTAGTGAGCGCTCGTACGTGGAGTCATGTGTGCAACTGTGCATTGAACTCATTAATTATGATAATTATGATTTATCTCTCAGATATAAACAGAGGTGGAAGAAGTACTCAGATCTTGTACTTAAGTAAAGGAAGAAGTAAAAGTGTATGAATACTATGTTACAAGTACAAAAGTGTTGGTATACAAATATAATAAAACTCCTGAAAGCAAAAGTACTCATTATGCCAATTTCAGAATAATAAATATAATATTACATGTTTTATAATTATGTATGCATGAATGTGTTTTCAAACCAGGTAAAGGTGCAGCTACTTACGTTGTGTACTGCAGGGTAGCTGTTGAATTTACTCCAGGTGTAACTAAAGTCTTATTTAAGTGTTGATTAAATATTTCACATCATTATTCCAAATCTGTAAAGTAATTAAATGTATCTTCTTAGTTACTTTATACCACTGGATATAAACACGAATGGATCATGTACACGTGGCAGTCACAAACAACATGTCTTTTTTTGATAGACAATTATTATTGCAATCTTTTAAAGTGCATGTTGCTGTTTCCGCTTAATGTTTCTAAATCATTCATACATCATGTATCAATGACTGATATGACATAATATGATAAGGGCAGAAAACACATGCACCGCTCTCCCTGGTTCAGCCTCTTTCTCCGTGCGTCCTTACACTCGTTATTACGACTGTAAGCGGCAGGCAACATGGCAGCCTCCATAGAGAGCGTTTGTGTAACATAGCCGGAGTTTGGTACATTTTCAAAGGATTTTGATCTTATTTTCTTCTGATATCATTCCGGAAATCAAACAAAAGACCTTCGTCTACTGCCAAATACATCGTAAGTGTAATACAACACGTGATTTGGCCTTTTCAACGGACCTAAACATCACTAAATAAGTGTTAGTTATAGCTAACATAGGAATTGATGTGCCAATGTTCTTTAGATTAATGTCAGATATATCTGTGTTACACACTGTACATGCTGTCATATTTAGAGTTGTGACTTATCAGAATAAGAGTATATTCTGTCCTTGAGCTGTTGGGTTTAAACGTTTTTTTTTTAGCAAATGTGAAAATACATTTAGCAGCCGTATATTTACAAGGCAAGGTATCATAAATAGTTGTAACCTGTCAGACCTAATGCAACATAAACACTTCTAAATGAACAATCTCAGCATATGCTAAAACAATCTTAACATGGATGTCTATGCACTTTTTATAACAACCAAGTACATTATTGAATGCATGACTTTAAAGTTTTACATATAAAAATGATTTTCACTATTGAGTAACTTAAATTCAGTTTTTTCCCTGAATCCTTAAGTCATCATGATTCATGTCTGCATTTTTGACCACCTAACACTCTCTCTACAGGTCCCACATGTTGACAAAGAAGCTCCCCCCCCTGCAGAGGTTCCTGTCACTGGTTTCCAGACGTGCGAGTCATGCCGCCCGACAGCAGTATGATGTCATTGTTGTGGGTGGGGGTCACGCAGGGACCGAGGCGGCGGCGGCAGCAGCCCGAGTGGGAGCTGAGACCCTGCTGGTCTCACAGAAAATACAAACCATTGGTGAGAAAAAGACAGTGTTCTCTTAACAAAAGAGCGTATTTTTATTTGATTGCAAACTTTTTTCCACCAAAATATGTCCCATGTCTTCCTCCCAGGTGCCCTGTCCTGTAACCCCTCTCTGGGTGGAGTGGGGAAGGGTCAGCTGGTGAGGGAGGTGGACGCTCTGGACGGGCTGTGTGGTCGAGCAGGAGACTGGGCTGGGATCCACTTCTCCATCCTGAATCGTAGTAAAGGCCCCGCTGTGTGGGGCCCGAGGGCCCAGCTGGACCGGCAGCGTTACCGCACATTTATTCAGGTATCAGATGAGGTTTACATTTTCTCTTTGGAAGAATGAATATTTGTCTGTGATGCCTCTAACTTTGTGTCTGCTGTTTGTCCTTCAGTCGGAGCTGCTGTCCACCCCCAGGCTGACGGTGTTGGAGGGCTCAGTGGAGGAGCTGCTGTTATCAGAAACAAACCCAGAGGAGCCCGGAACACACCGAGTCACAGGGATACGTTTGGGTGAGGAGCAGATATTTACCATATATTTGTATCCCACACTTGACCCCCTAATAAGGACTGTAATCACAGGTGTATTCCTGTTTTTCATTTCACCCTAAATGTGTCATCATGGTTTCGTTTTTAACTTTGTGCTCATTATGTTGCGTTGGTTTTTTTTTATGACCAACTTTCCCGAATAGAGATACTTAAAGAAGATGACTGGAATGGTCATGGTTTTGCAGAAGTTTGATTTCTGCAACAAACAAAAAAAGAAGCAGTTTAATCACAGGCTATTCTACCAAACACTGAGACAGACACACCATCGTCTTCCATTCATTCTTTTTTTTTACATTTTTTACATTTACAACTTGTAAATGTCATCCTCAATCGGGTTCTCTTTCTCTATGCAATAATTGTATATGTAGAAATTCTGAATGGCATTTTTTTTATAGAGAATCTGGAGTTTGTTTGACATTTATTATCAAACAAATGTATCATCCTATTAAAAACACTTTTTGGATATATTTGAATAAGTTAATGATCGTGCACTTCCTTCTACATCTTCACAGCAAACGAAGGCACACCAATCTCAGCCAGCTCTGTGATTCTTACTACTGGAACCTTCTTGTCTGGCTCGCTCTTCGTGGGCCAGAGCGAGTCCCCCGGGGGTCGGATAGGCGACGCTCCATCGAGCGCTGGGCTGTCCCACACACTGAGGGAGAGGCTGGGGCTGAGGGTCGGCAGACTGAGGACCGGGACCCCTCCCAGGATTCTGAAGGATTCTGTCGACCTCTCCCTGGCTCACCTTCATCCCCCGGACAGTCACCCCACTCCGTTCAGCTTCCTGAATACACACACACGCTGCAAGGTAACGCTTGGATTATTTCTGGTGACTACCTGCACTGGATATGGTCCACTATGGAGCTTTGCGAATTATTTCTAATCTTTCTTGCCACTGTTCTCTTGATGATGGGTTTGGATGGTCTGCCTTGTCCACCTGCAGACTCAAACCATTGGCTAATTTTTATTTAAGGCTTATCTTGGCCTGCTTCTTTATTACCTTTGGAAGGATATTTTCCTTAAGTCTGTACTGAACAGGGAAACATTTTAATTTAAGTTTCAGAACCACCTGAATCTTCTGGAGTTAGTGTCAGTGGAGGAATGATTCTTAACTAATTGGAAGCACACCCATCCAGGCAGATGTTTCAAATGTCTTCCGAAACCTTAAAATGAGTTCTGTAACTTAATTTCAATGTTTTATATTCGTTTTTATGTCTGCAGCCGTGTTATTTTTGTCACTGCCAATGTCTTGGCCATGACACTCAGTCAGTCCTTTATTCCGGGATAAATGTAGTTCAGGAATTGATTACTGTTTTTAGCAATAGCAGTCTACAAGAGGAATTCTTACATATCCTTATAATTGCAGGAAAACAAAATTATTAATTTTGTTTTCCTTTTGAAACATAACACTTCTTCAGCCTGAGGAACAGCTGCCTTGCTACCTGACCCATACTACTCCTGGTGTAGAGAGAGTGGTGAAGGAGAGTCTTCATCTCAACTGTCACATTCAGCAAGACGCCAAGGGTCCCAGGTACACACACACACACACACAACATTGTACACAGTGTGTTCTGAAACCAAGTGTACCAACCTGAGTCCCCCCCCTCTCGCAGATACTGCCCCTCCATCGAGTCGCGAGTGGTTCGCTTCCCAGGCAGACAGCACCAGGTGTGGCTGGAGCCTGAAGGGTTGACCTCTGACCTTTTGTACCCTCAGGGTCTGTCTATGACCATGCCCCCCGACATTCAGCTTCGCCTCATCAGAGAAATCCCTCCCCTGCACAGAGCTGAGATTCACACGCCTGGTACACTGCCTGAATCCTGTTTGATCTGCATAGCAACCATAGATTTACAGCACATTTAAAAGTTATTGTGTTCCCTGAATGTTTCTTATATTTGTGTCTTTTCCAGGTTATGGTGTGCAGTATGACTTTGTGTGTCCCACTCAGCTGAGCCCCGCCCTGCAAGTGAAAAGCACCCAGGGGCTGTTCCTGGCCGGACAGATTAACGGAACAACGGGGTACGAGGAAGCCGCCGCACAGGTAGCTGCTTTTGTTTTTGATCAATATGTTCAGAAATTAAAGCTGAGGTAGGCAGTCATTTTTGGGGCGAATTCAAATAAACGTTAGACTCCTAAAACTAGACTCCTGCACCTCTGCTTTTAGGCTTTAGAAAATATATCCTGTTACGAAAGCCTTTGGCCAATCACAGGTTATTTCAGAGAAAATAGGCTTCCTATGGTCTGCTCTACTTATACAGAGGAGCATGCACGTCTCATCGTTAAAAACCTGATACAACGGCGAAATATCCTGCAGGAAAAGTTGCTATTACAGCGTTTGCAACAACTGTATAAACTGCAGAGCAATGACCTAAAAGAAGACGCATCCAAAAAACAGTCTGATAAAATCGGCAAAGCATTTCTGATATCAAGAGAAAAACGCTTATTTTAGTGGTTGTATTCGTTAAAGCGTGCTGCACCATAAACCCTCTTTTAATTACCCTTAAACAGATTTCCACACTTTTTGAAACCTTGTTCCTGTCTGTGCAGGGCCTGTGGGCGGGGGTGAACGCTGCCCGCTCTGCACTCTCCATGCCTACAGTGGCATTGTCTCGGACAGAGAGTTATATTGGAGTTCTCATTGATGATCTGGTGAGTCGAGGCGTTACAGAGCCGTACCGCATGTTCACCAGCAGGGCTGAGTATCGAACCTCTCTGAGGCCGGACAACGCTGACCTCCGCCTCACTCTGAAAGGTACGCATAGTTTGTAAGACTTTATTTGTTTTACAGACACAGAACAGAATGACTTGTACCTTCTGTCTTTTAGTTTTTAACACCTCTTATTAACGTTTTCCTGTTTCAGGGTTTGAGGAGGTGGGATGTGTGTCTCCTTTGCGCTACCAGGAGGCTGTGAGAGTGAGGGACAGTCTGCAGGAGGCTCAGGCAGCTCTGCAGACCCTCAGTATGTCCAACCCCAAGTGGAGGAAAGCGCTGCCCGACATGCGTATGAGTGAAACCAAGAGCACCCTACTGACGTGAGTAACAAATATGTGGAATCCACATTGAAATGGACAAAATCTAACGTTTAGGATACAGTGAAGTAGTTTGATCCTTACTCTGGGGCTTATTTTTCAGCGGTATGGACGTGCTGCAGTACAAATACGTGACCTTTGAAATGATGTCATCTGCCTTCCCAGAAAGCCTTTCACGTCATATGGAATTTGCCCAAAGGCTCAAGATTGAAGGTAAAAACTAACTTTGACATCAGGAAAACTTCTGCCTTGATGGATCAGTTCTCCATTATCATTGCCTCAAAACGTTGCTGTTCTTTCGAGCTACCATCATACATGTCATTAGTTCTCACTAAAACATCTCCTCTGTTGTTCAGCTGTGTACAAGCCTCACTGTGACCTCCAGAAGAAAGAGATTGAGCGGATTCAGAAGGAGGAGAACATGTCTCTCCCTCAGGACATAGACTATTTAACTGTGCCAGTGTCTATGTCTCAGGAAGTCAGAGAGGTTTTGGACAGAGTTCGACCCAGCACTGTGAGTACAGTGCATTTGTTGCTTGACATTTTTATAATTTGAAAGACCAGAAAAAAAACGTTTGGGGTTATATTTAATATGAATTAATACTCTGTTTTCTTTTTGTCCAGTTGGGTGCTGCAACACGTTTAGAAGGTATGACTCCGGCTGCGATCGTCCATCTCTTGAACTACGTCCGCAACGCAGCACAGAGGGAGAGAAGAACCCAAAGACACCAAAAGGAAGAGAGAGAGCGGGAGATGTGTGCAAAAGAGGCGTCTTAACCTCAGTGAAATAATGACTCAGGAAATGTTTTGTAAAAATGTATTTCTGAAAATGTACAAAATAAATTAATCTTTTTCTTTTTCTTTAGATAGACATTTCTTTATATTGTTAAAAAAATAAAACAGTGTAACAAGAAAATAACACACTCTTTCATATACAATTTTGCTAAGGAGCCTTCAAAACCTCGAAAGCTACCTAGTTAGGAAATCTAATCTTGTTAGTAACATTACTGTGAACAGCGTTAAACTCCAAGTGACCTACTCAGCATCACTGCCATTAATAACAATATTCCCGTCCAGCTCAGAAGTGCCTCGAGTGAAGAAACCGAATGGAAACTTCCAGTTAGGCTGTGGCAAGCCCCTGGGGGGTTCTGGGTAAAGTGTAGTGTCGACAAACGTCACCTCAGTGGTTAGAATGATAGAGGGCGACAAAGGACACTGAAAAAAAGATGAGGAGGGTTTTTAGACATTGTCATAGAGCTGAAACATGCTGGGTTGAGTGTTTGTCCCTACTTTGAAACGTTGACACTGGAAGAGGTATTTAGCCCCCAGGATGTATTTCTGGGGAAGGTCTAGGAGACCCTGGCGCGCCCACAGCACTTGGATGGCGAGAGAGTTGGGGAGGACGCAGCCGGATTCACACGTTTCCTGACACAGAGAATACAAATAATGACTGAGGTTTCAGATAACCCAATAACATCACACTCAAAGTTGCAAGACTCTCTAGAATACTTTAAATTCCTGAAACAGCTGTACCTCTAGGCTGACGGGACACTCCTGGGCGATTACTCTCGTCCAGTCGGGCTGGGAGCCAAAATTCATGGCGATCACATCAGGAGCTGCAGGTCCCTGCAAGAGCCCGTAAATCTGGGAACGCAGCTCTGAGCAGTTACTAGACGCCGGGGAACTAAACAAAGGGAGTGAAATGATCAAGGAAAGATTAAAGAAAAACCCATTATTGCGTCTTTATAATCTTTAATGCCAGGACTTATTTCCAGCAACTGCAACTATTCTAAAATATAAAGCAATATTGTGTGCTCACCTGAACGTGCAGCCAGTGATGGAGTTGTGTGTGAAGAGGACAGGGGCTCGGCTGTCAGGGTCGGAGGAACACGACCCACTCTGTGACGCCCACAATGTGGTCAGCTAAATCACCGTCAAGGAAATATATTGTATATTGACTCAAATCTAACAGGATAAACTAAGTCAACTTGGAAAGAGGGGAACAGTCGACAAGGCATGAAACTTAAAATGTTAATGAAAGTGAAAAATAATTTGTGGATATGCCCAGTGGGTTCTTCCTTAGCCCATGCTGAACCCTTGCACTAAGTTTAATACAAATTGAGTCAGTTTTTGGGATATTATTGCTGACAAACTAACACATCACTTTCATGGCAGAGGCAGTCATTTTAAGAGAGGTTCAAGATTTTGTTAGTAAGGATACAGGCTTCACTTCTCCATCAAAGCGACCAATGACAGGAGATCCCACTCTGAGTCCGACTGCAGAGGTCGGATCTCCCTGAGTGGGGCTGGGCGAAGCGAGCTGGAAGAGAGAAATGGCTTTAGTGAAAGAGTTGGAATCCTTAGTTCCTTAAGAGATGAAACCTGTGGCTTTGAAGGCTACCTTGAACTGCACCGAGTGCGTCTGCAGCAGCGACTGATTTGGATCCGCATCAGCTAAGACTACGTTCACTGTCGCATACGTCACTTCCCCTCTGCCTGTGTATCCTATGACAATCTCCACCTAGTCAGAACAAAGGACGATTGATTGGTTTAGTCAATTGTTGTGGAGGGGGCTGAAAAGAATCACAATTTGGACTATACTCACATTTTTTACCACATTGACACAGGAGCTGTTTTGTTCACTTGGTGCAGGCCATTCAGACAGTGGAGTCACTGGGATCTGAAACAAGAATGAGTGCAGCACCGAACTTTAAATTCTGTTTACTCTTGGTGTAAAATATTTTTATTTTAATCGCACACTGTACTCTACATGATGATAACTTTCAAAAATCAACACAAGAGGTCATACTCGATAGTTAAGGATACCTAGAAATGTACTATAGATTAAAGATGTTAGTATACTAGAATAAAGAAATACTGTTTCATTCTAAAGGCCCTGACACACCAAGCAGTCACCAGAGAACTCGCCGATTCAACATGTTGAATCGGCCGTGCGTCGGCCATGAAAGGCCAAATAAGGCTTGTCACGGCCGACGGTGCGGGACACACCAAATTGAGTTTGGGCGACAGGGCACGCTTCGTCGTCCGACTAACGAAAACGGCCGATTTCGGCCTGGTGTGTCAGGGCCTTAAGACTACTGTATAATGAAATGCAGGAATAATCCCCAAATGCTAGCGTTGGCAGTTGATTTTGTAAGCTGTATGTTAATTCACTTCATGTGTTTGAAGTGCAAAAGAAAAGTGTGCCTGCTAATATCACGTATGGATCGGTGCTGTATGTAAAATCAGTCACTTACCAGAAAGTCTGAAACTTGTTCTGTCTCGACAATTGGGGTCTGTAATAAAAAAGTATTTACGTTATCTGCTGCAAAATTCTCACAAATAATTGTCTACACAAAAGCATGTTGTGCACGCAGTGTGACCTTGATCAGATTAAGGTCGGAGAAGTAAGAGCGGGCGTTGAGAGTTGCGTCTGTGGTGCAGGACTGAGGAGTCAACATGCGAGTGCAAGACAGCGACACAGACCTCATGAACTCTGCAAGAAGAGGAAAACAGAAGAAGAAAGAAATGGTGCTCAATATTGTTTGGATGTAAAGGCACACTTTACCACACATCAAATGTTGGGAATAGTGAATGTTATCAAAATCATAAACATATTAGGATCCCTATTAGCACTAGCATGAGCATTGGCATTAGCATGAGATTGTTGTGAACTTACTTGCAGGATTGCGGCTGATACAGAATGCAGACGCTGCCCCTGGAGAGGGCTGACGAAGGAAACCCCGCGCGGGCGAGTTAGATAAATATGTCTGGATAACATCATCCACCTACAAATGTGGGGTGAAGAGTTTTATTAAAGATACACTCCTTAATTAAGTTCTATTCATGTATACACGTTTGTTACTTTGAATACTTTAGATACAATATTGTGAGCAGAAAAACGTCATATCTGTAGTGTTTACCCTGTAGAATCCTCTGCTGTAGCTGATGGTTAAAGGTGCTGGTGGGGAGAAGTGGTACGAGTCCCCTAAAGGAGGAAGCTGCTGTGGAGCTGGGAGGGACTGGGGGGATTTATCTGTTGGTTCGATGTAGATTTTTAACAGCATCAGAGGACGGTACATACAAGTTGCTTATAGATAGTCTTACAAAATAGGCTGCAACATAATTAGTTATTCTCCTGGTGACAGCAGTGTTTATGGTTACTCTAAATCCTTTAACATTAATATACTGTTATACCATCTACGTACCTTCAGGCCGGACACAAAACAAGGAGTCCGTCACAGTGACAAGAGACGTATTCACGTTAGCCCTGAACATCAGCCATTTCTCAATGCAAACTCCTGATCTGTAAAATAAAATAAAAACTCTTTAAATGCTATAAATAAGTGCTTTATGTGCTATGGCTTTAGTGCATGTGCAAAAGACTTACATGGCTTTCTGAGGACATCCGGTGAAGACGGTACTCAAGTTCGCAATCCCACAGTCAACTGTATCACAACAGCAGCCGATGTCACAGAAATCAGGGGTTAAATCACAGAGACAACCTGGATAAGAACAAAGACTTGTGTTATTCAGGACAACTGCAGTTGAGTATACAATTACAGAGACACAGGTTTAAAAAGAGTACACCAAAAGACAGTATAACCCTTCAGTCCACAGAGTTTATTGTATGAGCACTTTAGTTGTAAAAAATAGGGAATTAAACAAGGATTGTGGCAATTAATCCTATTGGAATAATATAAGATCTAATTACACTTACACTTAAATGAATACTACACTGAACAAAAATATAAATGCAACACTTTTGTTTTTGCTCCCATTTTTCATGAGACGAACTCAAAGATCTAAAACATTTTCTTTATACACAAAATAACCATTTCTCTCAAATATTGTTCACAAATGTGATAGTGAGCACTTCTCCTTTGACGAGATAATCCATCCCACCTCATAGGTGTGGCATATCAAGATGCTGATTAGACAGCATGATTATTGCACAGGTGTGCCTTAGGCTGGCCACAATAAAAGGCCACTCTGAAGCGTGCATTTTTGCTTTATTGGGGGGGTCTGGGGGGGTCCGAAAACCAGGCAGTATCTGGTGTGACCACCATTTGCCTCACGCAGTGCAACACATCTCCTTCGCATAGAGTTGATCAGGTTGTTGATTGTGGCCTGTGGAATGTTGGTCCACTCCTCTTCAATGGCTGTGCCAAGTTGCTGGATATTGGCAGGAACTGGAACACGCTGTCGTATACGCCGATTCAGAGCATCCCAATCATGCTCAATGGGTGACATGTCCGGTGAGTATGCTGGCCATGCAAGAACTGGGATGTTTTCAGCCTCCAGGAATTGTGTACAGATCCTTGCAACATGGGGCCGTGCATTATCATGCTGCAACATGAGGTGATGGTCGTGGATGAATGGCACCACAATGGGCCTCAGGATCTCGTCACGGTATCTCTGTGCATTCACAATGCCATCAATAAAATGCACCTGTGTTCGTCGTCCATAACATACGCCTGCCCATACCATAACCCCACCACCACGGGCCACTCGATTCACAACATTGACATCAGAAAACCGCTCACCCACATGACGCCACACACGCTGCAGTGCATGACATTAAGCTAATTTACAGATGGCCCTGAGCCCAATAGAGATTGCCCTGAAAAAACACACACTTCAGGTTAGAATATCACACGTAGCTATTTTAATTACCTCTCAAACTACCTAAACTAGTTATAGATATGTTTAGTTTTACTGTCGGGTCACTCATTACTGGATCCGCGAGCTGCATGATACTGGCATAATAGATTGCCCGATCGGGCAACCAGCAGGTGAGGCTTCATTGCCCGAGCTAAATACTAGATGGCCCCGGGCCATCGGGCAGTCCTTAATGTCGAGCCCTGCGCTGTCTGCCATCTGCCCCGAACAGTGAAAACCGGGATTCATCCGTGAAGAGAACACCTCTCCAACGTGCCAGACGCCATCGAATGTGAGCATTTGCCCACTCAAGTCGGTTACGACGACGAACCGGAGTCAGGTCGAGACCCCGATGAGGACGACGAGCATGCAGATGAGCTTCCCTGAGACGGTTTTCTGACAGTTTGTGCAGGAATTCGTTGGTTATGCAAACCGATTGTTGCAGCAGCTGTCAGAGTGGCTGGTCTCAGACGATCTTGGAGGTGAACATGCTGGATGTGGAGGTCCTGGGCTGGTGTGGTTACACGTGGTCTGCGGTTGTGAGGCCGGTTGGATGTACTGCCAAATTCTCTGAAACGCCTTTGGAGACGGCTTATGGTAGAGAAATGAACATTCAATTCACGGGCAACAGCTCTGGTGGACATTCCTGCTGTCAACATGCCAATTGCACGCTTCCTCAAAACGTGCGACATCTGTGGCATTGTGCTGTGTGATAAAACTGAACATTTTAGAGTGGCCTTTTATTGTGGCCAGCCTAAGGCACACCTGTGCAATAATCATGCTGTCTAATCAGCATCTTGATATGCCACACCTGTGAGGTGGGATGGATTATCTCGGCAGAGGAGAAGTGCTCACTATCACAGATTTTTTCAGATTTGTGAACAATATTTGAGATAAATGGTTATTTTGTGTATATAGAATTTTTTTTAGATCTTTGAGTTCATCTCATGAAAAATGGGAGCAAAAATAAAAGTGTTGCATTTATATTTTTGTTCAGTGTAATATATGTACAACAAGCTTAATAATGAATCGTCTATTAAGATCTGAGACATTGTTAGTGAATAGTTTCACACAGCAAGTATTACAGTACAGTAGGCAACTGAAAAAATACAAGATTTATAAGTAACAGTCGGTGTTCAAAATCTTACTCAAGTACAAAAGTAACAGCATCAAAATGCACCAAAAGTACTGTTTATGCAAAATGACCAATTTCAAAATAGTATGTAGTATATTACTGGACTATGTTAAGGGATGCATTATTGTGAATATCACTTTAATGTTGATTCAGGGAATGTGGAGCTATAATTACTTTGTATTCTGATGGGGAGATTAGCCTAGAATAATGTATGAGATACTTTTGTACTTGTGTAGTAGTAACATTTGAATTGCAGAACTTTTACTTTTAACAGAGTATTCCTACTCTCTGGTACTTCTACTTTTACTTAAGTTCACTTCTCCCACCTCTGAACAAATATATTGGAGTTAAAAAAAGTACAAAACTCCCTCAGGATGTAGTGGAGTAGAAGTATGAAGAAACTAAATTGTAATTAGTTACAGGACCTGATAATATAATATGAAGAATACAAGAGGTAGGTGTGAGTTACCCTCTGAAGAGAGCAGGGGCTGGACGGTGGTTACAGGAGGACCTCCAGTGACCACAGCGGGGCTCTCAGTGACCACAGCGGGGCTTTCAGTGACCATAGAGGGGTTTTCAGTGTCCCCAGCCGGGCTTTCAGTCGGAGTCATGGGGTCCGGGGTGACCGCCTCGGTGGTGGAGACCCCTGTGAAGTCATCCGGCGCTTTACGACCCGGAGCAGGGGTCTCTGAACTGAACGACCCCCCACCTGTAGGGCTGGGGGTAACGGTTGAAGTGACCCCCGGGTCTGTGGCCGCGTGAGCCGAACGTCCACACAACACTACCGAAAATATCAGAACTAACGGACACCACCGGCGGGGATTCATTTCTACTCAAAGAGACACAGGAAATCTGATATAATGTTTACTTTACAGTTAGCTGGAGGTATTTCTCCTACATCGCTCGTTACAACTTCACATCCATGAAGTCTTACAGTAAATTATAATAACTTTGAAATAAATAAACTATTCAGGAAACCTGGATGCATTTAGCTTAACATTGCTACACAAGCTTCTTGTTACCAAGGAAGTAGTCACGGCAACTTCCGGTTCTGAAAACGCTACCGTAAATAATGTAAGAGAAGACATGTATTTGTCCAAGTTCTTTATTTTCATAAGCACACAACAATACTATTAAATATGCTTTTTAATCACCCAAGTTAAACCAAATAGAGAATATATGACATTAAATAGGGTAGGCCTTAGTTAAGATAGGCCAAAACGCATACAGAAATTAATTTCTGGCACATAACATTGCACATCAGTGAATGTAAACATGATATTAAATGTAGGCTATATAGATCATGGTAGACATTTTGGATTTAATGTACACGGTAATGTAGGTAATGTATGAGAAATATATACACAGAGTTGTAAAATGTATTGGAAATCAGTAATTACAATATAAAAAGGGGAAATGATAGTAGGGTGACAGCATGAAACATGTAATCATCAAAAATGTTGATGACAAAAAAAGTAGCCCTGTGTACAACCAAATAAATATATTTTGAACCTTTTCGATGGAAATTAATTTACCCAAATTTGTGTCTTAAAACTTAATCTTCTAAAGAAAATGGTTACCCTGACAGTTTAACATCAACATACCAACAACCAATGTCTAATCAGATTACCTGGTCATTGTTGTTTTGGTGTAAATCCTGATCCTTATCGTGGGTAACGGTTGCCTTCAAATGCCAAATACAACCTAGTGAGATACTTTTTCTTTGAGTTAATGAATCTGGCCCGGCCTGAGCACTGGGCTACATGCCTAAGTACATGTGAGGGAAGTTTAAGGAGATTAAACCACATTCCGGACATTTGACCTTCAAATTAAACAGATTAAGACTATTTCTACAAAGCTTCCAAAATTATTGTTGGGTAATTTTTGTGATCTATGACACTGTGAATAATTAAGTTGATATCTTGACATCACTGTTATTCCTCACAAGTAACTTAGTATATCTCAGTGCTCTTCAAGGGGATAATCATCACCCTGCTAGGCTTGGAGACCGCAGTGAATGCCAATGCGAAGTGAAAAAAGTGTTCCTCGAGAAAACCATTATATTTGTTATCTTTGGATTTGTTTTTAGACATCCCATTTTAGATAAATACACATATAAACTTATTGAGAATTGAAAATATGAACGTGACATTTTTAATCTAAGTGAAATAATAGAATAAATACTATATTAGCTCACAAAGTTAGAAGATAAATCAATCTCCAGATATTATAAAAAATGCTCTTAAATGTATTGTAGAGGCTAAAGCAACGCTTTAAGCCTCTGAGGATCCGCTTGGTGGGTGTAATTGACGCACACCTTGTTTGCTGCCGAATAAAAGTCAGAACCAACGTTTCCAGTTCGAAATAGTCCATTTATTTCCCTTTTTTACTGGTTTCTTTGTTTCATTCACCACACGATATTTATGGTTTACACAATACCTTTTGCTTTGTTTTTAATCCTGTGTTTGTGTGCGTGTTCTCCGTGTGTGCTCTCCGTGTGTGTTCTCTGTGTGTGTTCTCCGTGTGTGGTCAACAACTGTATGGGCCTTCCAGCGGAACCTCTCACCAACACACATAGGTTCCTAGCTTTATACCCACATTTAATTGGCTCCTACACACCAGCCCCTAATTGATAGTACAGGTATCAATTGAAAACAATGAAGGAGCCAAATGTAAAAATCATATTTCAATACATAGAAATGCACATCCTACACTTCCTGTACTAAACATAGTTTAGTAATAGGTCGCACAATAATGTTGGTCTTGGTCTGTAACTTGACAGAGCGCACCAGTCCTCCTTTGTCAGGAAAAACCTCCAATACTTTGCCAAGAGGCCAGGAACCGCAGGGAGCTGAGGAATCCATGATGACTACAATATCACCAGCAACTATATTCCTTTTCCTTTGGATCCACTTTTGCCTCTCTTGTAGCAACGGCAGGTATTCTCGCACCCAATGCTTCCAAAATAGATCAGAAATGTACTGAACTTGTCTCCAGCGACGTTTCACATACATGTCAGATGGTTCAAACAATCCAGGTGGCAGAGCTGGTTTCCCTTTCAAAAGAAGATGATGATTTGGTGTTAGAGGCTCCAAATCATTTGGATCGTCAGACAGCTTGGTGATTGGCCGATCGTTAAGAATGGCTTCAATTTCACACATGACTGTATGGAGTCCATCATCATTCAACATCTGTTGCTGCACAACTGAATTGAGGACGCGCTTTACCATGCGTATCAAGCGCTCCCAAACATCACCATGATGAGATCCTGCTGGTGGATTAAAACTCCATTCAACTCCAGCTGAAATTAGAGCTCCTTGAATCTTCTCATTATTCAATGCAGCGAGGGCCTCTCTTAGTTCTCTTTCTGCTCCAATGAAGTTGGTTCCATTGTCTGACCTCATATGAACAACTTGACCTCTTCTACTGATGAAACGTCTTATAGCATTTATGCATGCGTCAGTGTCAAGAGAGGGTGCAACCTCCAAGTGAACTGCTCTACTTGTTAAGCAGGTAAATATCACTCCATAACGCTTGCAAGTAGATCTGCCCCTTCTGATTTCCACAGGTCCAAAATAATCCACTCCAACATTGGTGAATGGAGGTAGATCTGGAATAATTATCTCCTTTGGAAGATCTGCCATTTTTTGCTCCATAGCTCTTCCATTGTAACGTCTGCAAAAGTGGCATGTGGCTAGCATGCCACGTCTGGTTAGAGCCTGCTGTTTCACTTCCATCTTGAATTTAAAGGAATCTGACTCGACGCACCAGAGTAGTCCCAAAGCTCTCTCAAGAGGAAGATTGTCTCTATCCAGATCCAGGTCCTTTAGCTCTTTAGCCTTCTGCGCTTCCGAGATTGTCTGCACAACTGCCCGACTATTGCTGATCCATTTTTCCAGCACAAAACCTCCTCTTTTACAGAGAGCATTAAGACCTTCAACCATTTGTATTGCTGCCTTCTCTGAGCCCAAACCCATCAAACAGTCATCCACATAGACATTTTGCTTAACTGCTTCAACAGTCTCAGCAGAAAAGTCAGACTTGTTGTCGTCAGCAGTTTTCCTTAGCGCATAGCTAGCGCAACTGGGAGAAGAGACAGCTCCAAACAGATGCACCGTTATTCTGTATTCCTGGATCTCTCTGGTGAAGTCTCCCTCTGGCCACCAGAGAAAACGAAGGAAATCTCGGTCTTCTTCTGTGACTTTGACCTGGTGAAACATAGCCTGTATGTCGCCCATGAATGCCACAGGTTCCTGCCTGAACCGAGTGAGAACTCCAAGCAGTGAACTGGTGAGATTGGGACCTTGATAAAGTACATTGTTTAATGATGTTCCTTTAAATGTGGCACCACAATCAAACACCACTCGGCGAGAACCTTTTCGTGGATGGTAAACACTGTGGTGTGGGATGTACCATAATTTTCCACTGCCACAGTGCTGCTGTGTTGGTACCTGTTCAAGGCAAGGCAAGTTTATTTATATAGCACTTTTCAACACAAGGCAATTCAAAGTGCTTTACAAAAAATGAAAGAGATTAAGAAAATGGCATTTAAAATCAGTCATTAAAAAGAAAAGCTAATAAAATAAACATTAAAAGAAAAAATACATGGATAAAAGTTACAGTGCAGTCAATTAAACATTAAAAGAAAAAAGTACATGGATAAAAGTTACAGTGCAGTCTAAGATATGAATAGTTCAATTAAAAGCAGCGACAAAAAGAAAAGTCTTCAGCCTGGATTTAAAAGTAGTCAGAGTTGTAGCGGACCTGCAGGTTTCTGGGAATTTGTTCCAGATATTTGGAGCATAATAACTGAACGCTGCTTCTCCATGTTTAGTTCTGACTCTGGGGACAGAAAGCTGACCAGTCCCTGAAGACCTGAGAGATCTGGATGGTTCATAATTTAGCAGGAGGTCAGAAATGTATTTTGGGCCTAAACCATTCAGTGCTTTATAAACCAGCAGCAGTATTTTGAAATCTATTCTTTGACACACAGGAAGCCAGTGTAAAGACTTCAGAACTGGAGTGATGTGATCCACTTTCTTAGTGTTAGTGAGGACTCGAGCAGCAGCGTTCTGAATTAGCTGCAGCTTTCTAATAGATTTTTTAGTGAGACCTGTGAAGACACCATTGCAGTAGTCGAGTCTACTGAAGATAAAAGCATGGACAAGTTTTTCCAAATCCTGCTGTGACATTAGTCTTTTAATCCTAGATATATTCTTTAGGTGATAGTAGGCTGATTTAGTAACAGTTTTAATGTGACTGTTGAAACTCAGGTCAGAGTCCATGACTACACCTAGATTTCTGGCTTTATCTGTTGTTTTGAACATTGCACACTGAAGCTCAGCGCTAACTTTTATACGTTCTGACTTTGCTCCAAAAACCATTACCTCAGTTTTATCTTTGTTTAATTGGAGAAGGTTCTGACACATCCAGTCATTGATTTGTTCAATGCACTTACTCAGTGTTTGAATTGGAGCATAGTCTCCTGGTGAAATTGTTACGTAAATGTGTGTGTCATCTGCATAGCTATGGTAACTTATTTTGTTGTTCTTCATTATCTGAGCCAGTGGTAGCATGTAGATGTTAAAGAGAAGAGGCCCCAAGATGGAGCCTTGAGGAACCCCACATGTCATATTTGTCAACTCAGATGTGTATTTACCTATAGAAACAAAGTTGTTTCTGTCCTTTAAGTAGGATTCAAACCAATTCAGAACTGTTTCCGAAAGTCCCACCCAGTTTTCCAGTCGGTCTAGTAATATGCTGTGGTCAACAGTGTCAAACGCAGCACTGAGATCTAATAATACTAACACTGAAGTTCTGCCACTGTCTGTGTTTAAGTGGATGTCATTAAAGACCTTTACAAGAGCAGTCTCAGTGCTGTGGTTTGGACAACGCCTGACTGGAACACATCAAAACAGTTATTTAAATGCAAGAAATTACTCAACTGTTGAAAAAAAACTTTTTAAATGATTTTACCTAGAAATGGGAGGTTTGATATGGGCCTGTAATTGT